TTGTAAATATAACATTGTTTTTGATACCGGTTGGTATTGATTATAGAATATTTATGGGATTTAATAACATATTCATAATAATATCCGTGTCTAGAAAAGGTAAGCTGCTACTAACAATTGATGATAAATTAGTAATAGTTGGAGAATTATTGTTAACTGAAGATGGAAATATGAATGGTGGATCATTAAGGATAGCTGGCATCAAAACGGGTGGTAAACAAGTGATACTAGATGGGGAATTGATTAGAGGTTGAAAAATATGTGGAGGATTATTGTCTGCTGATGATGAAATATGTGATAAATGACTCATACTAGACAGGGATTTGTTTGAAGGTGAGATAGGTGGAGAATCATTGTCAACAGAAATTAGAGAATCGAATAGTAAATCATCATCAGATAAAATAGTTGGTAAATAGCTAATAATAGGCGGATATTCGATTGGAGGTGGAAAAATATGTTGGGAATTATTTTCAACTAATGGAAATATAAAGGGTGCTACATCTATTCTAGGTGACAAATGACTAATAATTGGTGGAGGACTCGATGGTAATGATTGTAGGTAACAGAAATGATTTGGTTTAAAATTCGCCAATTTATCGGGGTAATTTAAACTCGACCACATAAAAACTAAGTTAATTGAACTTACTGGTGTGGTATAGGCGCTATACATCCCACGATTAGAAGGTGGACAATAAGATTGAAATGCTTCTCCCAAAGCTGCACTTGATGCATCATTTGTGCCCAGCCTCCTACCATCAATGCATCATTTAAAATATGAATGTAATAAGTAGTGGAAATTCTTTCATCACTTATTGTTTTATTACTACTGTAAAATTTATCATCTATATCATAATACTTTCTATTAATTATTATTTCAATTGCTGTCAAGAGTCTCATGTAGAGATGTTTCTCCTCATGACCAAAAATTGCTAGAGACAAGCAACGATAAAAACAATTGCCATCCCCAATAACTTTTATGGGTGAATAATCTTCTAAAAGATGCTTCTGAAATGATTATAACAACCTTTGAGAAATAAGGTCTTCCTCCCCAACTAAAAAATTATCATTACATTTAGTTGATAAATTGTAATGTAAACTGATAAGGCTCAATTCATTTACTGCTGAATTAACTAAAAAATTATTCTGTAATCTAAGCAATGAAGAGCATGGCTTCACATCTATCTTCTCCATCATTGCCTTTTTGAAATAATATTAATAATTAAAATTATATTAAAATGCCTGATATATTAACTCATCATTAAATATTTTATTAATTATTGTAAATATTCATTCTTACTAAATGAATATGTTATGTTCTTCACAAATAAATAGTAAAAACTATATTTTATAAACTATTCTAATTTTATTTTGATATTTTGAAAAAAATACTAGTATCTGTATCTAAGATTAATTTTTTCACATCTGTATCTAGATTCTTAAGGACCTACCCATGTAATATAAATATTTTCTTACGTGATTATCCATTTCTAATTGAATATATTAAGATATATGACAACTAATCTATTGTTATTGAGGTAAATGAATGAATGGCATCATGTGAAATATTTATATAAATATGATTCTAATTATATAAATATAAATTAATCATTTACTATAATATTTAGATAAATCAAGATAAATAATATTTAAATTATTTTATTTAAATAGTAACTTGGTATTATTGAATATCATTTGACACAAAATAATATTTTATATGGTAATATTTGTTGTAATGTACACTTTTTTAATGTATATTTTATTTGATAAAGTGATTTATTTTAACAGATGTATTAATTTTTATGTAAATGACTGATGATATTTATTTATTACATTAACGAAATTGTAAAAATCACTTTTTTATTTTTATATAAACTTTTTTGATTAAATTTAATTTTATAATAATAAAAAAAATATAAAGAGAAAGTTAACAAAATTTTATCTCAGTATCGCTATCAGAGGCGATACTCTTATTCCAATAAAATATATACGTTAAATTAAATAAAATTTCAATAATGATATCTGAATCCCCATTAATTATAAAATCATGTAGATTCTTTTATTCAATTTAAGAAGGTTTATTCTTTTTAAATTATAAATATGAAAATATTAACAATACACTTTACCGGCATGATTTTGTTTTAAATATTATACATAGTCCTCCACCATGCGTATTATGATAATTCAGCTTATTAAAATGAATCTTTAATGTTTTAGGAGTAAATTCTGATATATAACATTTTTAAATCGGTTTGACTAAACTGCGAATGCTTAGGTAAATTTTTTTATATATTATCTTTTATTTGTAGTGAGATCCATTTTCCTATGATATAAATAACTTATAAAAATTAAATTTTTAGATATATTCAATAATAAAGAAATATACATTAATAGTTGAATTATCTTTTATCTCATAATAAATCGTTTAAATCTTTTAATATTAAATTAAAAATAGAACTATTATATTTTCCAAAAAAAAAGGGGGAGTGGTTCATAAATAAAAAAATTTTTTTAATTCCTAATTAGTAGCGTCTTTTAAGATCTAAATGTTTGAAAATTTTGCCTATAATAATATTCTTAAGCACGAATATTATACTTTTGGATAATTCATCCATTCAATTACCAAAGGAAAAAAAAATCAATTTATGAATATAACAATTTGTAAGTCACTACCCAACAGATATAGGGGGACCAATCATTATCATTTTTTGATGTAATTTCCTATGAATGAATAATGGTCGTCCGAGAATTATATGTAGGAAATTTAAATACAATATTATTATGAATGAATAGAATATATAACTTGTCTTATTATGACAGAATCAACTTTATTATATCGTGATAAATATGTAACATGATAAATGCTTGTAAAACTCACAAATTATAAAAAATGTTCAAAATTTGCTAAAAATTATTTCCATGATCTTAAATCATATAATAATTATAATCTTGTGTTTGAAATTTTCCAAAGTTGATGTAAAAAATTTATAGTAAATATTATAAAATTAATTTTAAAATGGGATCCTTAGTCAACTTTTCTCGTCTTTTCTTATCAACTGTCAGTCTCCTAAAAAGTTTCAAACAGTGTCAATATTTTACTAGACCCTAATGTTTAGAATATTTTTCTACTATCAAAAACTTTTACTGGGCTCAAAACAAGTATAATATTTTTTTTATATTTCCGGATTTTTACGCGTGAAGTTAAAAAGTAATGGAATTAGAAATTACTTAATGAACCCAAGGGTTTTGAAACATCTTTCTAATATCAAAGTTATTTAAATAAGCTTAAAACAAATATCTAAAATAAAATTTTTCTTCTTGGAATAAATTATAATGCCAGTGACACCATATTAATAGATCTAATGGTTTTAGAAAATCTTTATAATATCAGAAACTTTTTATTGGGTTCTAAACATAAATAAATAATTATTTTTTATTTCTACATTTCACGCTTGGAGTTAAAAAAGATGCCACTATAAATTTATTTATAAACATAAGTTTAAAACATCTTTCTAAAATTAAAATATGATAAAAACAAAGTTTTATAAAATTTTCGCAATTTCTTCGTGGACTTAAATATAATAACAGTGATAATTTATTACTTAACCCAAAATTTTTTGAACATTTTTTTAGTATATACTTTAAACTAAGCTTAAAACAAGTTAGTTCCTAGTGGAATAGGCTAATTCATTACTAGACCCAAAGGTTTTAGAATATCTTTCTAATATCACAAACAATTAACTAGGTTTATAACAACTCTTAAAAAAATTTACAATATTTTTTCCTCCTGTAGTAAAATATCACAGCAATACCAAATTATTACAAGACACAAATGTTTAAGAACATCTTTCTATTATCAAAATCTTTAAGCCTAAGATAAATTTTTAAAAAATTTTGGCATTTATTTCCTCGTGGAGTAAAATTTAATGGCAGTGGCAATTAATTACTAGACCCAAAGGTTTTAGAATATCTTCTAATATCATAAACATTTAACTAGGTTTAAAAAAACATCTCAAAAAATTCATATTTTTTTTCCTCCTGGAGTTGAATATAATAGCAGTGCCAATTTATTACAAGGCCCAAAGGTTAAAGAACATCTTTCTAGTATCAAAAACTTTTAACTAGATTTAAGATAAATTTCTAAAAAAATTTCACAATTTATTTTTTCCTTGTGGAGTAAAGTATATGGCAGTGCCAATTAATTACTAGACCCAAAGGTTTTGTAATATCTTTTTAATATCATAAACATTTAACTAGGTTTAAAACAACGTCTTAAAAAAAATTCATATCATAAATTATTTTCCTCGTGGAGTAAAATATAACAGCAGCTCCAATTTATTACAAGACCCAAAGGTTTAAGAACATCTTTCTAGTATTACAAACTTTTAACTAGGCTTAAGATAATTTTTTAAAAAATTTTCGCAATTTATTTTTTCTTTGTGGAGTAAAATATAATGGCAGTGCAAATTTATTACTAGACCCAAAGGTTTTTGAACATCTTCCTAATATCATAAACATTTAACTAGGTTTAAAACAACGTCTTAAAAAAATTCACAATTTTTTTCCTCGTGGAGTAAAATATAATAGCAATGCCAATTTATTACTAGAACCAAAGATTTTTTAACATCTTTCTAATATCAAAAAAATTTAACCCGGATTAAAACAAACTAGTTTAATTTTCTATAAAATCAACAAATTGACACAACCCAGCAAGCCGACCTACCGATCCGACCCACCTGGTCGGATCTGATCGCTGTCCAACGAGGTTGGCTCGGGTTTAGGGTCGTTTTTTGGGCTCAAACCTTCCTGGGTTTTCGGCAAAGCCGACCCGACCTAGCAATTTAACAACACTAATCTTATCAATACATTAATTTTTGACCAATGCGACATTTATTCAAAAAATTTCAGAATTAAAATCTTTAATTAAATCCAACTTATCTTATTATCTCCACGCTCACTTATTTCTCGAAACTATATTTTTATATGCCCATATCCGATTCAAGATATGATACACATCACCTCTAGCCTTATCAGTCAAGTAACCCTCTCCCTATCAACAAGCGTAACAGCCATAGCGAGTACTAGGAGTCGTTTGAGTGCCAGCAGTTCTAGCGCCGGCTCTAGCTCTACTTCCGACTCTTCCTCAGACTCCGCATCATCCTCCAACAATGACTGCAACACACCCCTCGAATATTCTCGTAATATTTTCATACGATTATTCTACATCTTAACGTTGAATTCATAGTGGCGAGATTGCAATCGATATTTAGCTTTAAAATCTGTTTATGAGATCAATTTTTATTTATTAATATTAACTATAATTCAATTCATATTAATAATCTAAGAAATTATGATTTTAATAAAAAAATATTGATCTCAAACAGATTTTAAAAAACTGTCAGCTGTTAAATCGTAATCGCGTCACTATGAATTCAAGGTAATTTGTATTATAATTAAATGGTCTTATATACACCATAATATGTTTCATCGATTATGTTCTTGGTTATTTTATAATTATTATTTTTGAGCTTTCGATAATTTCTTATTTTTTTGTGATGATGCGTACTTATTGTCACTTAATTTTTGCGATATATGACCTTTTCTATCCTTGACATATGACACATTTTATTTATAAATTTATTTATTTTTTATACCAGATAAAAGAAAATCGAAAAAGGATAAACAAGTAAAACGATTTATTAATGATGTCATATCGAATATTCTTTATTTTTTAGAATAATTCCTTACAAAATGAACAAAACTTAAAGAAGAACCACATATTACCCATAAGCCTTTTCTCAGTTATTAAATCCACAGGTACCTTTTCTCCCAAATTTAATTTTATATCTTTATTAAACCTCAAAAACTGACCATATATTTCCCTGATTAATTAAATGTGTATTTGTTTATGCAAGAATGATACATAAACTACTAATATATAAATTTTTATAATTAAGCTTAGGTTCATTTTATAAAATATTATTAAATTGTTCAGATATGGAATCTATTTCAAAAAATTGAATATAGTATAATATTTATTTAGGTACACTGCACACTACCGAAATTCAAACTCAAAACTCGTTTTCCAATGTTACACTTTCTTCTATGAAATATACAACTTCACTGTTTTCGCAAGTGAGTTTTTTTTTAGATTAATAACGTTGGATTTTTAAACTTTTAACTTATTTTTTTAATACCCCCCCCCCCTCTCCCTATCATTGTTATTAATTAACTACTTTTGAATGATTATTTTCTATTCCCGATGGGTTAGGGCAAATTTTTAGACTGAATAATTTTCATATTATAACCAATGGATGAATAAAACATATTCTAAATCCATTATAGGCAGTGGTGTATTTCTTGAAAACTAGGCGGGAGAGGGGCTACAATTTTCTATAGATATATTCGAAATCAATTTTTTTTTATTACGAATATGAATTCTTTCTTTTATATTATTTTTTATAAATTTAAAAATTTTTAATAAATCTTTCATTTCTTATTTTCTTTGGGCTAGATTTTTCTTTAAAAATATTTCATTCGCCTACGATCATTCCTTTTCGATATTTTAATACATGGATTTGGATCCATTTATATAGTTAAGAAATTTTTCATCAGGAATAACTTCATCTACATATTGACGAAACCCATCATATTCATTAAATTTGAGTTTTTGCAGACTCTTTTTGTTTGCTTTTCACCAAATCGCCCATTAGGTTCTTAAGCCAATTCCTTTTTGAATAAAGTATATAATATTAAAATTTATTTAAGTCATTTTACCCTTGTTTTTTAAAGATATCCATCTTACTATTTTTGAATATTTTTAAATAAAACTAATTTCTGAATTGAGCGACATGGTAGGAGCGATTACCTCCAATTTTTTGAATGGGTAAGGGATTCGACATCCAAGGGGGGGGGTGGTAGGGTATAGTTAAAATAAACACTATTTGTAGAAAATAACTGATATAAATTTTTTAATTAATTAATATTATTAATTTTTCATTCATTCACATAACTTTTGAAGTCATACATGCTCATAGCTAATATTTAGGATACGGTTAGTAACAACTAGTTGATTATCACCAACTAATGATTATTTGTTATTACTGGCCTAAATAAGCAGGAGGCTTGAAAGTTAATTAGAATTGTTTTTAAGGTTATAATGGTGGCTTATTATACGATTTATTAAATTAATATCATGGGGTTTTAAAGCAAAATGGGTGTGTAAATCCAAAGATCACTGAAAGCTTTCATTGTAAATTAAAGCATCCTGCTATTTGAAAATTTCGGATTTCTATTTTAACTTTTAAAAGATTTTGTTAAAATTGGACTATTTTTACCTGTAATATTGTTAAATCGGCTAAACCTAACAGTTGAAAAAATTCGCTAAGCCTTATTTTTTTCAAGATTTAGCTATCCTTTAAATTTAAACCTCGATTGAGGATACCATGGTAGCTTTTGCTTAAAATTTTAGTTTATCATTTTTAACCTGTTAAAATGGAGTTATTTGTCACCATTACTTATTGGTCGGGAATCTCATTCTCTACAACAAAATAAAAATAAAAAGGGATTTAAAACATTTTTGAAAAAATATTTGTAAAAATTTGAAGAACGGGCTAAAAATAAATTAGCTGGAAACTTATTCCTCCCCACCTTGCAATGCACCCTTGGTAGCTATTTAAAATAGTTGATTTTAAAAAATATTTTGAAAAAAATAAATATTATCTTGTTAATTACCAACCTACCCATAAAATGAAAAGCTAAATATAAAATTTAAAAAAAAATCGATATTGTTTTAAAAGAGGCATACAAAAATATAAATATTTTCGTTTTTTGAGGATTTAATTTTGGTAAAAGATTAAAATGTTAATTCATTAGTTTTATTTTGTTTTATTGATGGATTATTAAAATTTTGACAATCCTCAATTATTTTTGGCTGCATTTATTCTTCATTTTGGCAATATATTAGTTAGGTTTAATAATATTTCAAATTTAAACAGTAAACACAAATTTTCAAACTGTAAAAATTACTTGCACTTTTGTTAGAACCAGTTCTGGAGGTTCCTAGAAATAAAATGGGTTCTGGTTCCTATAAACTTTAAACGGGTTCTGGTTTCGAAGTAATTTTTTTTCTAACCAATTAAATAAATTTATGCATCACCTCAAATTTAAATATAAAAATACGCTAAAATGGTAGTGGACTAACATATTTCTTTAATGCCATTTTTAGAGCTTTATTATAATTATAAACTCATTTATTTTTTGTTAACTTTTTGTATTCTACTAAAACCCATTTTATCCTGTAAAAATTAAAATATTTTTCAAACGGTTTTCTATGATTTGATACAATTTGCTATATTATGTTTAAATTTCCCCTCTTATATGATAGCTTCGAAATAAAATAGTGAAATAACGTGCTCTCTCTTATTTATCTATGATAACATTTTGTAATCGATTTAGATAGTGCCAATTTTATAGGAGGAAAAAACAATTTATACCGTAGGTGCCCATAATTTCCACCCCTTCCTTAAATCCGCCTCATTTAAACGCTTTTAAAAACGCCGATAAAAGCGATAAAAGTCCTACGCATTTTTCTTCGCTTCCACTTTTTTCGAGACACACGAATTTGAACGGACAGACCCACATTTACGCAAGCGGAGGCCTAAACAAAACGGTGACTTCCACACCTCGCACTACTAACGTCCTCAATTCTATTGATGGTAATTTTGGTTTGTTTATATAACGGTGCAAGTCTGACCTGATTTTAAGTCTATAATTTCCACTTGATCTAAGGTTAATAAAAATTGGCTTTTGCATTATGGTTAGTTATTATACCCACGTCCGAATTAATCAGTCATAATTAACATCACTTTATTCAAAATTCTTATATATTTAAATTTTATTAATTCTAATCAAAATATGTTATATTAATGTTAGTATAATAATTATATTCAAAAAAATATATGTAAAAAGGATTAAAAAAGTTGGGTTGCTACCTAGGAAAAAGGTTTCCAATGAAACTGATATTTTGTTTAAAAAGTACTTGGAAGCCTTTTTAAAAATTTTTCACTACTCAAACGACTCCTGAAATCTTGGTTTGCATTATATAAAGCTCGAATCTGGCCAGAAATTTTAATTAAATATATAAATTTAATAGCTTAAATTAATGTATTTTTATATTTTTATTAATTTATAAATATTTTAATAATAAAATAATTATAATATTTAAATATATATTGAATTTCATATCAAATCAACTAAAGATCCTTGGGTCCCCTTTTATTAAGGCTTTGCAGATTTTTAGTCTTAAAATATTTAAATGTAATTCTATATTTTTTTAATTTAAAAACAAATACAATTTATAATATAAGAACATATAAGTTATATAAAAATAAATAAAGATTTTATAATAATAAAAAATATGTTTAAAATACGTGAGAAGGTGACTCTAGATAATGGCTCCGTGGATTGATATACCATGTTAAGCTACATATTTCCATTGAAATTCATTGACATAGGTTAAAAAAAAACCTTTGAGAATCATCCGAAACATTTTTTGACTTTGACGAAATCTCGGACTCTGGATCTTAATAAATTGTTTATTAATAAAATAAAAAGATATTTTTGATGAACGCGTTCCGTTTGAACGAGAACGAAGCATATTTTTTTCGTCGGAACAGGAACACAAAATGTTTTTATTCTGAGTCATTGCCTGTAACAAATTTTCTTTCAGTTAATGATTTTGGTTTTATCTTTACCTGATAATTTGCCGACGGTTTACCAACCTAGCAAATTATTAACATAAATATGATAAAATATTTCATATTTTGATATTTATATAAAATTTTATAAACACGACCAATATTTATAGTGCGATAGCTCTTGAACCGGAGCTCGTCCCGTCTAAGATTGCATACAAATATAAGGCTGTATGGATAAAAAAATTAAAAGACAAAAATTCTTTTTATCGTATTTCCTCTCTTGCGCGGCGGCGTCAAATATTTTTCTAACTTAAATTTTTTTAAGTAAATTTATAAATTCATTGGAAACACTTTTAAAATAAAATTTATTATTTATTATGTTTATAACTATAATTTAATGATTTTATTAAGTTATAATTATCATGAATAAATATTATTTTATTAAGATTTAAAGACATAATAATGATCTTTTAGAGTTCAGAGTGAGCCCAGCTATAGAAAATACACGCTCGCTGGGTGTGCTTGTAGCTGGAACGCACAGGACCTTTCTAGCTAATATTGAAAGTTTAGGAAGATCCAATGCTCTTATCTTCCAAAAATCTAAGACATCTTTTATCTCCAAATTATAAGGCGAAAATAATGAATAACACTCTTTTTCTAAACTAGTTAAATAGTGTTGTTGTTCTAGGTTATTGTTTTGAATAGATGAATGCTTCGTAGCCAATGACTTAAGATAATCGAGTTTTGAAGCAACCTCCGTCGTTTTACATTCGTTTAATTCGTCCGTGTAAGACCGTAGAGAGGTAGCGTGTTGACATAAAAATTCAAGCGAAGTAATATTTTTTTCCTTTAAATATTCATTTACTATGTTTATTGATTGAAAACGAGGATCCAAAAGTGCTCCTAACACCTAAGTAAAAAAAATAAAAGAAAGAATAATGTATAAAAAATAATTTATGTATTTTAAAATACTACCTGAAGATCGGTTATTGGAAATCTATGATCAAATTTAGTAAGCATATTTTGTTTAAGGGATGCTATGGGTGGACTATCATTTTCTTTTACAATTAAATGATTTTTAATTTCACTACTAAATAATAAGGCTAAATTTATAGTAACTCCTTTTTGGACAGATAAAAATTCAACAGTTTGTTTGAAGGTTTTAAGAAAATTTAAAAGTTCATATACCAAGTCCCAATCGGAGTTAAATAATTTGAGATCCGGTTTCTCCATTCTATTTAATAGAATATTTATAGGATTTTTGTTATTGCCAGTCACACTTTCCAGCATTATTAAAATACTATGCCAACGTGTAGGCACACTTAATTTTAAGGTTTTTTTTTGTTATTGCCAGTCACACTTTCCAGCATTATTAAAATACTATGCCCGTGTAGGCACATTTAATTTTAAGGTTTTATGTTTTTTCTCATATGATTTTTGATTTTCACTATCATCATCATACCCCAAACGATCTTCATAAAAAGGATCATTATCATCCAAATCTAAAATATCCGATGTATATGATATCAATTCAAAACATTTTCTATTTTCTATATCGTTTATATTTTCAAAATCCGCTGTTTTGAATCTTAAGGCAACTATAACTTCTCTAACTTTTTTAATGAGATTTTCAATTTTATTAACTTTTTTTATTCCATCGACTGTCACTAGATTATGTAATCCATGCCCCAAACATAAATGATGGTCATATTCTCCTAGACGAACACTTTTCTTTACATTGGGTCCTGCATCCGTAACCATTTGAATTTTCTTGGACCCTAAATCAAATTCATTTTCAACTTTTTCTATTTCGGAAAGAATAGTTTCAGCGGTATGTTTTTGGGTGACATGATGTGTCGCCAATGTATAAAATACAATATTAAAATTATTATCTATTTCGTGAAAAGTAAAGGTGATATAATTTCGCCGTCTATATTTGTCTGTCCACATATCAAATGTTATAGCACAAAATTTAGGACCTACATTAATTTGTTGGCATATGTATGCTTTCATTGATAAATAAACATCATCTAATCCACTCCGGCTAAGTGTAGTTCTGTCAGGTAATTCTTTGGCATCTGAAATAATGCCATATTTCTACATAATAAAAAGTTAATAATAAATGCCATAAAAAATTCAAAATGTGGGATGTTATAAAATAATTAAATATCTTAACAAATAAAAATTAAGATTGCCCTATAAAAAATTATAATGATTTTACAAATAACCTTTAGAAAATCTTGCATTCCAGTATTATTTATTAAAAGAAATAAAAGAAAGGACTTATATCAACTATTACTATTTAAATTTAAATCAAATTTATTACTATATATTTTTTATCTAAAAACATTATATATATATAAAAAGTTAATTGAACATATTAAATAATCAACTTAAATAGTTAATATATAAAATAAACAATATTCAAATAAAACTAAAATTAACTATTCAAATAATTTATTTAAATATATAATCAATCAACATTCCCCCTCTTCTACAAATAACGAAGCTTCTTCTCAGCAGTCATCGAGAGCTTGTTGTCCTAGAAGTTTTTCCTGTTTCGATTGTACTCGGTTTTATCTTGGTTAGCGCATAAGTCTCAAATGTTTTCGTAGGCTTGATTCTATCACGTAGGTTTGATAAAATCGTTTATTAGAGTTGCGTGAGTTTCTACGTTTTCTTGTAGGCTTGAATCACTTACGTAGGTTTGATAAAATCGTTGAACGTTATCGTTGGCTTGATATCCTTATCGTATGTTGTTCACATTTCTCAAAATTGTTATTATCATTAATCCAGTTGAATATTGGAATTTGGAATAAATCGGAATATGTAATTTGGAATAGTTGATCAAATCAAATATATGAATAATATGCACGAATAAAATTTTGAATTTCGGAACAATAAAATATGTAATAAGGAATGATAATTTATGGAATAAGGAATAAAATCCAGAATAAGGAATGATAAATCATAATGATTATTATATTATTTTTTATTAATCATAGCGTTTTATACTTTTAGCGTTTTAAGCGTTTTATATTTTTAAATTTTAAGCACGTAATCTTTTAAGTAATCAGGTTTATTTTTAATTCTTATTGGTCTAGAAATTGGTATCTTAATCTCATTCTTCGTGTCCACACTTCCCCCCTTAGAGGAATTTTTAGGGTCAATTTCATAATATTTTAAACTGTTGTAACATTCTCTTTTCCTTAACTGATCAAGATGCCTACTTACTATCCCTTTATTAGTATAAACTTGAAACATGGTGTTACTCTCTTTAAGCTTGATGCTGCCTTTGCACCACGTATCATCACCCTGCTGTTTCTTATACCAAACATAATCTCCTCTATTAAAAGTTCGATTTCGTGGTAACGACATGAAGACTTCACCAACTTTATCCTCCAAAGGTTTTAATAAATCCCACTTTATTCTAATGTCGCGGTTAAACATTCTTTTGGACGGTGTAACTCCCGTAGTGTCATTCGGCGTGTTTCTATAGTTGAACAAAAATCTGTCCAGCGCAGTTTCTAAGCCAATCTTTATGTTTCTTTTCATATGAGCTTTAAATGTTCTCACCATACGTTCAGCTTGTCCATTAGATTGCTGATGGTAGGCCGACGTTAGTACATGTTTTATACCATAATTGCTACAAAATTTTTCAAAATCTTTGCTCGTGAAATTGGTACCATTATCTGTAACAATGGTTTCAGGTATACCAAATAGTGAAATAGTTTTATAAATTTCTTTTAACGTGAATTCAGTCGTAATACTCTTTACCGGAACTATAACCGGAAATTTACTATAAGCATCAACGATTATCAACCAATTCTTTGTAAAAAACGGACCCGCATAATCTATGTGTATCCTTTCAAATGGTTTAGTTGCTGCTACCCATGGATTTTGTATTTTCTTTGGATTGTCATGATAAATATTACAATCATCGCAACTTTTGACTTCCAAATCAATGTCGTTGACCATACCAGACCACCACATACGATCTTTGGCTAAGGATTTAATTT